AGCTATGGCTGATCAGACCAAAAGGATCTCGGAATGTTCTACCTCAGGTCGGGCACAAATAGTTCACGTGAACATTTGGGGTGTATTCCCTAAATCGGCACATCTCACGTTTCTTTAGAGCTACTTCAATTCTGCTTTGCTCACAGCGCACAGCACCTTCTCTCATGAGGGCACGCCATGCTGGGCGGTCCTATGCCAATGTCTCCCATGTCTCACAATCAATTCCAAAGTCCTTCAGTAAAACTTCGAGAGCATCCTTGTATCGTTTCTTCTGACCACCATGTGAACGCTTGCCCTGTGTGAGTTCTCCATAAAATAGTCTTTTAGGCAAGTCTAAGTTTTGCATTCAAACAACATGGCCAGCCCATTGGAGTTATGCCCTCTGCAGCAGAATTTGAATGTTTGGCAGTTTAGTTTGAGAAAGGACATCAGTGTTTGGTAGCTTATCTTGTCATGTGATCTTCAGAATCTTCCTAAGACAATTCAATGGAAGCAATTCCTGGCACGGCACTGGTATGTTGTCCAGGTTTCACAGGCATACAACACTGTGGAACAAAGTTGGCTATTATTCTCCCTCCCAAGGAAAAAAGGGATGGAGCTGAATTCTCCCAGACGAAGGCTTTTTCTTCATACTAGGCCACCTGGGAGTGTAACTTTCCCTTTGGTCACCAACTCTATCCACCACCTTGACTTCAAGGCTGGAGTTAGGCTTCATATACCTTGGGTCAAAGCAACCTAGCCTGGCTACAACAAGCTCATTTTAGCCTCTAGGTAAAATGGAAGATACTCAGGACAGGCATCCAAAGGCAAATGGTTCCATGCAAAGGTACAGCTAAGGAATGAGTTGTCCTGATCTATTTCTTGCCACTGGACCCAGATGGCTCCAGAGGAGAGAGTGAGGCTGGTGACTCTGCACTGTTCTCACTTAAATCCAATTCACTTTAAAGTCACCTTCCTGTCATCATGGTCCTCTTTGAGAACAAAGGACAAACAACCACAGTTGATGGAGCAGAAACACGCTCTAAATAGACATGGATACAGTCACACCAGCAAAGAAGCAGCTTCAAAGAGTGTGGACCTTGCTCAATCAAGAGTTGGGTTGTGGAGAGAAGCAGACCCTGGAGGCCCAGAATAGGAAATCCATAAATTAACAATAGACTTCCAGGCCCTGCAGTACCAGACTTGGGAGATGCCACATGTACAGGTGTGCCTCACTACCATAGTATTCTAAGTTTGATCCCAGGCTTCCCATGGAAGCTTTATGCCCCAGGTTGAGAGAAATGTTTTATAGAAACTGTTTTTACATATACCATCTGAGTAAATTCATTCATTCATTTATTTTTGCTAAGGGTTAATTGTATGTAGGCAGCTAGGTGGTGCAGTGCATAGAGCACTGAACTTGGAATCAGGAAAACTGATCTTCATGAGCTCAAATTGGACCTCAGATACTTACTAGGGAGAGGATTCTGGGAAGATGGCAGAGTAGGTCAAAAAATGTCAAGCTCTCAAGATTTTCCTCCACAAAAGAGATAAAATAGTGCCTCTTGGCAAACACAGAGCCTTGAAAACAAATAAGAGTAGGGGCAGAACAGGAGTCCTCATGGGACAATTGGAGAAGATCTGAAGAAAAATCCCAGGATGAGATTTCCTTCCTGTGAAGAGTTAAACACCTCCAGGCCAGTGACAGCTGAAAGGAGGATTTAAACACAAGACAACACAAATGGACACAGCTGGAAACATAATATTTACTGTTCTTGTTTATCTGCCAAATGTTAGTGCTCTAGATCATTTGAAACATGGTTTTTCTCCTACTCTTTTTGGTTTGTTCATTCCCTGATTTTAACCCTAACTTTTTAAAAGCTTGAAGTGTGGTAAGATAGATAGGAGCTGATTCATTCACACCTAAGCATCCCCTCATTACAATTTATTTCAGACTACTTTGTTAAAGAGCTCATTCTTAATGGTTTCGGTGCAAATCCTTCTCCTTGGCACACATTGAGACAAGAATACCAGTTCTGGGGGTTCTGCTCAAGATGGGAGAGTTAGCTCAAATAGAACAGCTCACCCAGCTCTTACAACTCACCCAGTAATGATCAAGAGTTCTGAGAAACTATAGTAAATGTATTTTGTCAGCCCAGCTCTGGACAAAGAAACAATCACAAGCTGGCAGCAACTAGGAAAGGGATCCAGAATGGGAATGCAACCCATGGAAGTGCCTTCTAATAGCTCATATAAATTTAGCTTTCTATGTTTCTCTGTGCATTTGTGTTTAAACCTGGAAGTTTCTACTCATCTCTGGTTTTTTAATCAGAATTGCTGGAAAATTTGCCAGCGGTATCAAACTCAAATAGAAACTGATCACTACCAGCAACACATGGATTTAGAAAATCACAAATTAACATTATCTATGTTGTATTTTTATTTACTTTGTTAAACATTTATTAATTACATTTTAATCTGGTTCAGAAGGCCAAGTTTGACACCTCTGCTCTGTACCATTAAAGGTGCTCTTTTCTCCCTCTAAGATAGAGTTTTGCAGGGTAAATTATTCTTGGTTCTAAGTCTATCTCTTTTGCCAAGATATCTCATTCTTAGGAAATGCTTCTCAGTCCGGTGAGATTCTTACTGTAGTATCTTGTCACTTGAACCGCTTCTTTCTGGAGTCTTAGAATACTTTTTCTTTGCCATACAAGCTCTGGATTTTGGCTGTGACATTCCTGACATTTTCCCTTTGGGGCATCTTTCAGGGAGTAATTAATACATTCTTTCTGTCTTTACCCTGTGGTTCTAATAGATCTGGGAAGTTTTCATGTATGGTTTCTTAAAATAGACTATCGAGGCCCCTTTTTTTTTTATTGTGGTTTTCATGGAGTCAGTGATTCTTAAATGATTTCTCCTTGACCTTTCAGTTGTTTTTGATCATCAAAAAGCTTACATTTTCTTCTATTTTAAAAATCTGATTTTATTCTAATGTGTCTTGCTGTCTCAAGGAACCATTAACATCTGTTTGTCCTCTCCTGTTTTTAGTGAGTTTACTTTGAAATTTAGTAAATTTTATTATTTTCATTCCAAGCTACTTATTTCTTTCTCCATTTTCTCTAAAGATTTTGTTTCATTTTATATTCTTTGATTCATTTCTTTTAAGTATTCATATAGTCCTTTAGAAAAACCATTTTTTTGATTACTTGTAGTTGTTGCTGAGTTATTTGCTCTTTCTTTTAGGGGATATTTAGATTTAAAATAATCTTTTTTTTTCAGGTGTGGGATAGGCAATTTATTCCTATACATACAAGAAAGGCCAAACAACAACAAAGACCTCCTCAAGAACACACGTTAAATGAAAAGGAATCAATTACTTAATCAAAATAATCTATTTATACTGGTTTGTGTTTTCTTTGATTTATTCCTGTCTCTAACTTTAATTCCTGAAGTCAGGTTTTGTTCCACTGTAAGTCTACCCCCCTTGCTGAGCTTTTAGGTGCGGCAGTCAGTCCTGTTTGGTCTTAACCAAAGTCCCTGGGTTCCTGAGATAACCTCTGGCTCTTGGGCTTGGATCTAGATCTAAGATCTAGACCTAGATCTTTAAAGTTCAGAAGGCTGGATCTTCAAGGCCTCTCTGGCATCTCAGGACAAAATATTAGGGACTTCAGAGCCCATGGGCCTCAGGTGTCCATTCCAAGGCACTCCCACACTGGTTAAGCCCCTCCTACACTGGTTCAAAGGTCCTCACTGTGGGGCTTTTTGTTCTTAGAGCTTTTTCAGAGGAGTCCTCCACTCTTGCTGCCTACAGACATAAAGCCTGACGGGCTCCATGTGTCAGTTGTTGTTTACTTGTTTCTGATTCTTTGTAACCTAACCCCATTTGGGGTGATACTGGAGTGGCTTGCTATTTCCTTCTCCAGCTCATTTTACAGAGGAGGAAACTGAGGCAAACAGGGTTAAGTGACTTGTCCAGGGTCACATAGCTAGTAAGCATCTGAGGCCAAATTTGAACTCACGTCTTCCTGACTCCAGACCCAGATGCTCCCAGCTGCCCACGTGTGTCTGTAGTTTGTGTCAAATACAAAACACTTTACAGAAATAAAGATAGGTGAAAATAAGTAGAGAAATATTATTGCTCATAGCTAGGGTGGACCAAAATCCCCTAAATGACAATACTACTCCAATTAATTTATATATTCAGTATCATAGAAATCAAACTATTAAATTATTACTTTACAGAGTTAGAAAAATAACATAAAGAAAAAGAAAAAAGTAACAATTAATTTGGTGAAACAAAATTCTCCACTGGAAGAAAAAAAGTGGGAAGAAAAGGGACCTAGCACGATCAGATTTCAAGCTACATTACAAAGTAATGATTACTAATGTTATTTGGTACTAGTTAAAAAACAGAAAAATACATTGGTGGCACAGATTGCCACTGTGCCAAAGCCCACCAAAGGTTTTCTGCCTTCACTGTTACACGTGCCTCCTGCCATAACAAAGTAAGTATCCGCATTTGGAGTGAAGTTATGCGGTGTTTAAAAAGGCAGTATTTTCAATGCTTCCCCCCCAATTACTGACCATCCACCAAGGGGCTGCCTACAGTGTCTACCCCCTTTGTCTTGGCTCTGAAAGGGAAGAGGGTGACCAGCATAAAGTTACTGAAGAAATACTATCTGACCTGGCATTTAAGGAATCACCGGTGACTGAGGAAGGAGAAGTTTGAATGTGGTGCCCCCCATTACAGTGTGAGCTCACTGAAGGCAGGGACAGTATTTTTGCCTTTCCTTGTATGCCCAGCGCTTACTGCCTGGCACACAGAGCAAGCGATTATTAAATGCTTGTTGACTGACGGGGTAGATTTGGAGGGCTGGGGAGTTGGGAGGAAAAGTCCTAGACCTGAGCCCAGATCGTGTTGATTTAAACAAATGCTCACAAACATATTTGCGGCTCCGCCCCCCGCCCCCCCTTCTTACGCCATTCTCCAGAATAACCTGACGCAGGGAACGGAAAGGACTTTGAATAACACGCACGTTCACACTCAGACACACTCCCTCTCCACTATGCAGATCCGACAGTAGTTTGCAAGCACAGGTTCGCTGGCTATCTGGGCGCTGCTGCAAAGGATTCTTCGCACTAAGCTCGCCCACATCCATTCCCTTCCCGAGCTCTGGCAAGCAGCCGCTGCGCCCTCCCTTCCTTGCCCGAGGTTAGTCCCTGTTCTAAATCCGGATCTTTGCCTGCCGAGGGCCCACGAGGGCATCTCTGCCCCAGCGGGCTGCAGCTTAAGACCCCGTGGCTCTCTGAAGTGCCTGGGCCGCTCCTTCCGACACGCTCCTCCCCAATCCCGGGCCGGGGCCGCGGCGGGGCAGTTGCAAGGGCTGGCGGAAGAGGGTAAGTGAAGCCTCACGCACGGCTACTCGGCCGCCAGCTCGCTTATGGCTGTCTCTTCTTACGTGCCCCGCGGCATGATCTCAGCGGTCACTCTGCTTGCATGCAGACGGTCGCCTATTCCAGGGAGACTCCGGAGGAGGTAAGCACCGGGAGATGCGGCTGCATCGGGAGACGCGGCTGCCTGGACCTGGAGTAAAGGGGCCAGAGGGCCAGAGACGGGAAGCGATGGGTCCCTAGGCCCTAGAGCCGCCGGCATTGACCCGCCGTCCTTGGGGTCCCCCCTTTCGCGCGTTCTCGCCTTCCCATCTTCTAGAGATGTTTTCTTTGGTCCTCGTAGAGGCTCGTTTCCACCACGGTCTCCCACTTGTTCTCCATCTTTCTCTTTCTTTCTCCTTTTTTCCCTCTCCTACCCTTCTCTCTCTTTTTCTCTCCTTCTCTCTCTTTTTCTCTCCCTCTCTCTTATTCTCTGTTTCTTACTTGCCCAGGGTCACACAGTTCGTGTCTGAGGCCAAATTTGAACTCAAGTCTTCCTGACTCCAGGCCCGGTGCTCTCTCTCCTCTGTGCCACCTAGCTGCCCTCAGTTCAGATATAATTCATCCCCGTTTTACAGATATGGAGACTATAGTTCAGAGGATTGTGTCTTGCCCAGGGTCTGAGCATTCCAATAGTATTTTCTCTGGTATCTGCGGACAGGTTAAGATCCGATCTAAATTAAGACACTTGATTTCTGCCCTGCTTTAACTGTGGTTGGTTGATATTTTTTTTCCTTTTGAGACAGATTTTGTGTGAACTCAGGTTGTTCACCAAACTTCTGATTGTTCAGTGCTGGCTCGTAGTAACTCTAAAAAGTTGTTTTTGAATTGCATCCGACTCTTTGAGAGCACATTTGGGGTTTTCTTGGCCAAAATTCTGGAGAAGTTTGCCATTTCCTTCTCCAACTCATTTTACAGATAAGGAAACTGAGGCTAACAGTGTTAAGTGACTTGCCCAGTATAAGGCAACCAGTAAGTATTTGAGGCCACAGTTGAACTCGGGAGGCCTGGGGCTCTATCCCTTACATCACTTAGCTGCCCCTAATTTTATTTATTAGGTTCAAATACATATAATAACATTATGATCCCTGGATGTTGACCAGAAATTTGAGGTAACATTCCAGGTTGCATAATGATGTCAGATGGTAAGTATGGACAAATATTTATTTTAGTTTGGATTTTGTTATGCGATCAATTGATAAGTTTTGTCAATCTGCCACCACAATATTTCTCACATTTCTTCCCTTCTCACCACTTAACGCAGCTACCACTCTACTTCAGGCTCTCATCACGTCTCACTTGGACTATTACAATAGACTCCTCTAATGGACTTCCCTCTCCAGCTTTTGTTGGTTGTATTGTAGGAGAAATACATTTAGGAATAACCCAAAGAGGACACTTGGTATGTCAGAGAAAGCATCCTGGATTTGGAGTCAGAAGACTTGGTTTTTAGTTCTTGTTCTGACCCTTATTATCCCTTGCTCATTCTTACTAGCCTGTTTAGCCTGGAGAAAAGAATTGAACAATAGTGAGGTATTTAAAAGATTGTCTTGTGGAAGAGGGATTATACCTGTTTGGCCACAGAGGGGAAGCATTGGAGCCAAAGAGGGAATTTTCCAGGAAATAGATTTCAGCACCTAAGGACAAGAATGATCAACAGTTAGATTTTCATTAGCAAAATGTGCTACCTAGGCTGCATAACCACTTGGTGGGAATGTTATACAATGCATTTTGATTCAGGTGCAGGTTGTAGTAAATGGCTTCTGAGATCCCTTTCAACTTTGAAATTCTGTTACTGACTAGTTATGCAACTGTAGCCAAGTCATTTAATTGTCCTGGGCCTTGTTTTCTTCATCAAAATCATTCTCCATTCTTGCCACCTTTGCCCTATCAGGAAAACCCCACACAGATCTGCTTTCTAGCCCAGAGACTGACCTAGGGCTTTTGACTTTACTAGGTCAAGGGGTGAACCTCAATTCAATCCAACTGAAATAGGGCCTGATATACAGAAACAAAAGCCAGCCTGTAATTGGCTGTTCAACCTCAAAGAGAGGTTGCAGATCCAGCTTGGACTAAGGAGGGTCCCAGAAGTGGGCTGACCTACAGCAAGGAGCAGGACAGAATTAAATAGCTACTCTGTGACATGACTTCAGCCCCCACTCTCATCTGAAGCCTGTAGCTGAGTAAGGAGGGCAGTGAACTCCAACCAAGGGACAGTCTGCAGTTCTCTTACTCTGAGCCTAAAGAGACCAGGACCAAGAGCAATCTACTGGAGTTACACCAAGGATATGTCTCTAGTTGTATCATTCATGCCCAAATTAAGGTCAAGAGCTTGCAATGCTCAGAAAAGGAAGGGAGAAATCAAGATTTAAAAAAAAATTTTTTGTTACATTTTGAGTTCTGAGTTGTCTCCTTCCTTCCCTCCCAACCCCACATTAGAAAAGGTCAACATTTGATATAGATATGCATGTGGAACCATACAATACATACTTCCATATAGCAGTTTTTTCCCTGGAGGTGGATAGCATTTTCCTTCCTAAGTTGTTGTAGTTGATTTAAATGATCATATTTTCAGAATAGCTTAGTCATTTACAGTACTGTTGAGTAATATCACTGTTACTGTATGCACCTTTCTCTTGATTTTCCTCATTTCACTGCATTATTTCATACAATTCTTTGCATGTTTTTCTAAAACCAATTTGCTCATCATTTCTTTCAACACAGTAGTATTCCATCACAATCATATGCCACAACTTATCCAGCCATTCCCCAATTGATGGGTGTCCCTTTACTTTCCAGTTCTTTGCCATCACAAAAAGAGCTGCTATAAATGTTTTAGGATATATAGATTTCTTTTCCTTTTTCCCTGATCACCTTGGGAAACAGACCTAATAATGGTATTGATGGGTCAAAGGATATACAGAGTTTTGTAACTCTGGACATAATTCTAAATTGCTCTCCAGACTGGTTGGATCAGTTCACAATTCCACCAGCAATATATCATTAGTGTCCCAGTTTTTCTACATTCCCTCCAAAATTTGTCATTTTCCTCTTCTATCATTTTAACCAATCTGACAGGTGTGAGATGGTACCCCAGAGTTGTTTTAATTTGCATTTCTCTAATCAATAGTGATTTAGAGAATTTTTCATATATGGCTTTGATTTCTTTTTTTGAAAACTGCTTGTTCATATCTTTTAGCAATTTATCAATTAAGGAATGACTCATTCTTATGAATTTGACTCAGTTCTCTATATGTTTGTAATTGAGGCCTTTATCTGAGAAACTGGCTATAAATTTTCCCCCCAATTTTCTGCTTTCCTTCTAATCTTGGATGCATTGATTTATTTGTACAAATCCTTTTACATTTAATGTAATTAAAATTGTCTATTTTATATCCCACAGTGCTCTCTATCTTTGTTTATTCATAAATTCTTCTCTTATCCATAAATCTGATGGGTAATATGTTCCATGCTCTTCTAATTTACTTAGGGGTGTATGGGATGTTCAGGGAAGACTAGCACCCCTGGTGTGAGGGCTTGCTGAGCCCTTTTCAGGGTTACTCATCTACCTTTGGTGTCCACCTTCACCCAACTCTCATGTGTGGCTCCAAGAAGCTATAGTGGCCACACCCAGTAAACTGTTTCAGCAGGTGGGCTAAACCAGGTTGAGGACAACCCAATAGACCTCAAACTTGCAAGTGAGTTACGGGGATGTCTACCTCAAGCATGTGAAAACTTTCCCCATGGAATGGGCAGGTGAGAACAATTTGTTCCAATGGACTTGAAGGTGACAGAAGCAGGCACTGTGGAGTGCTGAGAGCTTAGTTAGTCATTGAAGACACGAAGGTCATCCACTGTACCCCAGACTAATGCCAGTCATCTTGACTTTTTCCTACCCCAGGACTTTGATGATTCTGGAAAGAGGGAGTGAGGCTGACAACTTTTTGCAACTCTGCCTCATTTAAATCTAATTCACTTGAAAGTCAAGACATCTCCCTTGTAATGTGATTGGTCCTCTTTGAAAATGAAGGATGAACTACAGTTGACTTATGATACTCCCTTTATGACTAGGTGCTACGTCCATTTTGTTCCTTATTTTGGCAAATGGTATAAGATATTGATCTATACTTCGTTTCTACCAGACTGCTTTCTAGTTTTCCCAGCAATTTTTACCAAATAGTGAATTCTTATCCCAAAAGCTTAAATCTTTGTGTTTATCAAACACAAGGTTACTATAATATTTACTACTGTAATATTGTCTATCTACTCCATTCCACTGATCCAGCATTCTATTTCTTAGTCAGTAGCAGATAGTTTTGATAATTACCTCCTTCATTTACATTTTTATTAATTCCTTTGATATTCTTGACCTATTCTTCCAAATGAATTTTGTTGTTATTTTTTCTAGCTCAAAAAATAATTTTTTGATCATTTAATTGGGATGGAACAGAATAAGTAGATTGGTTTAGGTTTAGAATTGTCATATTTATTATATTGGCTTGGCCCACGCATAAACAATGTTTCTCCAGTTATTTAAATCTGACTTTATTTGTGTAAAAAGTGTTTCATAATTATGCTTATATAGTTCCTGGGTTTGTCTTGGCTAGTATACTGTCAGGTATTTTATATGGTCTCAGTTATTTTAAATGAAATCTTTCTTGCTATCTCTTCTTGCAGGGCTTTATTGGTGACATACAGAAATGCTAATGATATATATGGGTTTATTTTATATCCTGCTACAATACTAAAATAATTGTTTCATCTAGTTTTTTAGTTAAATCT